GGATGATTATATTCATTATTTTCGCCATTGTTACAATTCTTGGCAACACTTTGGTTTTGGTGGCGACCTGGAGGGAAAGAAGTCTTCATGAACCAAATAAATATTTCATTGTTTGTCTGGCTGTCGCTGATCTTTTGGTTGGCATGATTTTGGAACCACTGTTGTTGTTTCAACTCGTTTTTGGACCAGTTGTTACAAATAATCATGTATGTCGTTTTATGGTGTGGCTAGATACTTTCGCGTTAACAGCATCTATTTATTCACTGACGTTCATCAGTTTCGATCGATACCTGAAAATGAGGAAACCACTTCAGTATAGAGCCAGAATGACAACCTCGAAATCATTAAAAATAATTTTTATCATTTGGTTCATCTCAACTGCCTTTGCCACCTACGCCGCCACTCCTCATTCAGGAAGCAGAGGAATCTTGTATACTGCCAAAGTGTCGGTTTCTTGTCTTAATGATAACAACATAGGGAAAGGATTCTATACTTTTCTGGCAGTAAGTGCGTTTTTTTTACCTACCCTTGTCATACTGATTATGTACGCTCTCATTTTTGTTGTTGTTCATAAACGACAAAAGATGCTACGAAATGGCGAACTGGGACAAACCTTCAATGATCGAAACCAACAAAGTGCTTTTCTTCAAAATCTGAAGACTATCCGAGTGTTACTCGTTGTCGCGGGAGTATTTATACTTTGTTGGGGACCTTTCTTTATTGATCTATTGCTTACGTACTATTCAAGAGAGCGCATAGAAATTGTAGCAGTAGTACTCGTATTTCCTTATTTTAACAGTCTATGCAATCCAATAATTTATGCCTGCCTGGACCAAACATACAGAGAGGCTTTCAAGAACATATTTCAGCGAATGTGTCGATCAAGTTCGGGAAGACGTCAACCACCCGAGGCAATAGCTGTACGCCCACTGAGGACCAGATAAATATAAAAATAGGTACGCACTGCGTACATGTTGCATGCCATCTGAAACTTATGATCATAGATATCTTATATAAGATATATATGCTTATGATGCGCTATAGCGCTTATAACCTTTGGTACAACTGGCGTGAAACTTAAAATATCAATTCAATAAATTTAATATCAATATATTTATTGCAAAATAGCTATTATGTCAAAATAATAAAACTTAAGTGGCTGTCTCACTAAGAACCATGCAGAGCGTTTCAGGTTGAAAATTAGATTTCCTTTATATTTTTACCATGAACTACCTTTGTCCTAAAAGGTATTAAACTAATATTAGAATTTCTAAATTTTTCTTTTTTTTTGAGTTATGACGAATTTTTGTCTGGACGTCAGCGACACTGAAATTTGACCCCGAAAACGGCGTTCAAATATGTGTTAAATTGTGCATCATAACTCGGGAAGTTTCGCGTCAAATTAAAAGCTTTATTCAGCGTATTGAGACATATTCTTCTTCTTTTAGAATGTTGAAAGAATTTGAATGTACATCTTATTTTAAGCCTACTAGTCTCCATCCAAGGATATCGGCATTTTCGTTCGCCGAACAACTAATGATTAGGTATAAAATTCAAACTAAAAATTCTCAAAAGTGCAACCTACCTGGTGTCTAAAACACTTTTAGGGTTAAAATAGAATACTTAAAGTTATGTTATTCGCAATAAAACTTGTCGGCAAAAGGAATATGAAGGAGTGCAAAATTCATAAATTATGGCTATAAATAGCTCTATTGTTTACCTTTGTGATAACCGGAAACACGTTCAAGGTTGCTCGCGGAGTTTTTATAGCGACTAATATATTGCACAATCATTGTATTTAACTCAGAAAAGTTTAATTCGATCGATGAAATGCGACGGATCTTTGAGGTCTAAAACGGTCAGAAGAAATAAATTCGTCTAGGACGTTGTATCCCTCATGACCGGAGTCCCGGACAGGTATAGGACAGGTACAATGCCAATGTCGAAAATGTGTGTTGCCGTAACGTCGCATCTTATTAATAAATCCATGAACTTGTTATTATGTTCTGTTAAAAGTTTTCCGCATTGCCCATTTGGCAGAATTTTTGTCCTTTCATGCAAACCATTCAATTCGTCGTATAAGACGATCTTATAGTTGCATTGACCTTGACTAGCTGCGACGTATACTGAGATCTGTCCTTTATCTTTAATCTATACAGCAATAATAATAATTTTACAGTAGTTTGCAGCTAATCGCCATTCTGTGAATAACTTTCAACTTCAATTGGTATTTTTCGGCAAAATTTGATTTGTCTCATAATAGTAGTATAAATTATAGCAATAAAAAATACATAACATCGTAGTTTGCATGCGGCGTTTTTGGTACTTGATTTGGGTTAACGATACTGCTCCAGGCTCCACACACTCGCGGACCAAGAACAATGACATCTCTCGACATGTCCAAGTTAGTCTGGGAGTATTTGTCCGCACCTGCACAATTTAGTTATTTATTTGGAAACATGTGCATTGCCCAATCATGGATGATATTTTATCTATGAGAGTCTGTTTTTATCCTTTGATTTGAACTGAAGTTCAAGATGCGCACAAATTTCTTTCAGCATCGTTATTTTAAAAACAGATAGGCTCTTCTGTTTGTACATGTCACATAAATCATACGCGTCGTGGTATATAGGATGGCATACGTCGATCTCAGCAAGCATTTTCCACAAGTTGTCCACAAGCATTTTTCTTTGTGCTTTCGCCTCAAAATGAAGAACACGTAAACTTACGCATTCTCCTTCATGAAGAACACGTAAACTTACGATAGTTATCTCCAGTTTCCCCTGCGTCATTAAAGTACTAATTACAACACTTGAAGAAGTAAAAGTAGCGTAATGCTTACGAGATCCTATATTTGAATTAATTTCCCATAAAGAGTAAAAACTGTTTTTGATAATGACACATTGAAAACATCTCTTCGTGTACACTTACGAACAGGACCCGAATGGAGGGAATACTGGCACGGTCGTAGCGGCCTCCAAAATCGTCCCAAATTATGACGGTGGGACGGACAAATAAACATCATCTTAAACTGGTCTTCGGTAAGATTGAACATTCCCGCGCGAATAGCAATTAACTCGTTCTCTCTCAAGTTCGATTTAGAAAGATGACAGTTTGATAGTTGAACACTCATATATCTTCCTTACAATCAAATAAGCAACTAATCTCCTCTAATCCACGACTTCCACCACAAGAAATTCCACCAACGCCAACAAATGAACAACTTTTCTCCATAATCAAAACTAAACTAGTAAGCTTCCAGAAATATCTAAAAACGGCACTTCTTTGCGTTAATTTTCTGTTAAACAAAACAGGTGTGGA